TGCTCCCTCATCAGCCAATGGGAGAGCGCACTGCTAACCAAAATCACACGCTCGTCAAGCTAATAGGAATGCGCGTCTGAGTAACGGGGACAGCGCAGAAATGGCGTCAGCGAATCGGTCTATAGGGGACCCTTATGCCAAATTAGGGGGGGTTGTGGTGAGTTGGTTTGGGTTTCAGGTACAGGGGACCCTAATTATGCCTGGGGGTGGGAGAAGTCTTCGGTGTCAGTAGTAAGTGCCAGATATCACTGAGCTTGAAACCAATGTCTTGTTTTGTTCTAATAAAATGCTGTGAAGTCAATACAGGGGAGACAACATCTGGTCCTAATCCAGTCCACCTCATTTGAGCCTGTACAGACACCTTTAAATTGGCAATCCCCTTGAGACCCATACCAGTCCCGAGAAACCTGATTTTTCCAACCGTGGACTATGCGGGCCCAGGAACAGAATCTTCAGAGGTTTTGTGCAAACACACCGAGATTATATGACGCCACCGTTTTCTGAGTAATGTGAGCCAGGTATAATTCTTGGCCAACATTTTCCCCGAAGCCCACGTTCTGTCTCCCTGCCATCGCTTTTTTTATGAACCGGTTTACCTGAATGCACTCCAGATCAATGAAGCTAGGGCAAACAATCGATAATCCCCAGTTCATATCATAAAGGAAGACAAGACCATTCTTGGAAAAAAAAATTTGCACATGTTAATAACTTTCACTTAAAAGCAATCTAGGTTTCATGTGAGTGTAAGTGTCAAATAGACGTGAGCTGTCCAAGATGCTTTGTAAATTTGGGGGATGTTTTTCTTATCCCATTCAGGAACCAGGGGTACTACATGGTGAGAATCAAACAGAATTTGGCTAAAAATCAACGTCTCACAAGTCTTGATTTGAAATAAAATCGAATTCCATCTTATTCAGTTTTATTTTCAAGAAAGTGGATTTAGGAGCTGTTATTTATTATCACAATCACAATCGTTATTTGCCCAATGCGTGCAATTTTAGGCGTATTTACTTACCTTTCACTAGGAGTATACTGGATAGATCTCATGTTGCTTGAGATGTGTACTTTCAGCACTTTAGAAATTTTCTGAACAAATAAAAGCAAAAAATATCATGCACGGAAAATACATGCGCACGAAGTTTACATGTTGACCAATTTCCATGTGTTGATTCAGCAGATACACATCAGAAAACTGGCACACCAATTCTTTAAATTCTGGCAAGATACTCTGTTAGTGTGACTCATAAAATAGGAATTAGCATCAACAACCAACATAAAAGCCCCAAATGCACCTTGAAGATAGCACCATGCGCGAGGATTGCAAGTAATTGGTACATGGGAGACAAATGAGTCTCAGTTGGAGAATTTGCAAGGTTGTCTCTTCAAAACGGGCTTTAAAACTGTCTTGTGTCATATTCGATTTTGGGTTTTTATGTGGCGATTATCATCTGGCGGGATGAACAAAAACACAATAAAATGGGAGCAAGCGTCGCATAAAGCATGGCTTGTCATTAGGCACGTGCAGTCTTGCTACAACGTAGCTGTATTCGACAACCTGCATTTTCTGTATACTTGATGTGGTCTAAAAGAGAGAAAAATATAGCAATTTAGAAATAAAGTGATACAATTCGTCATTTTTCTCGCAAACCGCAGTTGCCATGGAAATCAAACTGAGAGATGAATGGCTTCTGATTTTGTTACTGGGCACTGTCATTTATGCGTTTTATTCGGCTTAGACGCTGGAGCATCACAAAAGCTGTGGACACCGTTAGTTGATGAGGACTCATTCAAAAACGGTGGACTACTGGATGATTGCTGGAATGGCCTTGGAAATCGTTGTGCTCATCGTTATTGCCTGTATATCAAGTACAGTTGAAGGTAAGGTTTGAATTTAAAACAATGGAACTGTGTTTTTCTCGACTCAATTTTGCAAAGTTGAATCTCTCAAAATGGAAACTTTAACAGAATATCAAGAAGGCTTTTAAAAACATTCCTTAGATTTCCCAACCCTACCTAAATCGTAGTTTTGTCACAAGTGTAGTCTTGTGTAGACTGGTGAAAAACTGAAATAGTTTCTATAAAAGGCCATCGCTTCACTCATGCACAGTGCGCAGTGGCTATAGAATTCCACTGTAAAATGTAAAGAAGGCCAAATAAAAGAAGCAAACAGAGATGGCAAAGGCTCACGGAGAGACCGAAATGAAAAGCGACATTGAGACGGAAAATGTATGATATCCAGATAAGAAATATGTTATAAATCGTTTTTGTTAAACGATTTAAAACATATATGTGACCATATGTGACAGTGGCCATTTAGATTCGGTATGAAAGGAACCCCCGGTAAGCTCGTTCAGTAGCAAAACCCCTTTCCTATCGGACAAGCTATCGGACAGGGAGACTGCTCCGGTGGTTGATCACTGGCTTATCCATACAAAGCTACATTGTGTGCAGAGGTTGATCTGTTATTCACTCCAAAAAGAAACCCACTTGTGATTTTTCACTCCTCAATGCGAAGCGATAGAACCCCTTCGCCGGCTTAGATAAAAATCCTGGCCTTACTGTTGGGTGCACAATGGACCCGTAACTTACCCAGGCACTTGCCCAGATTTTATCAATATTCATGCGCTGTCTATATAAGGGGCTTCTGTTCAAGTTGTGTATACAGGCGTGCTGAAAGAAGATACAATTTCCCCAGCCACTTCCGCAAACCTTGCATTCATTTCTAAAACCTGGTTATTTGCTGTCGTCTAAACAAGTGTTTTCAATTCTATTTTTTACTCAGCCATTCTTCCCATGGGAAGGCAGGCAGGCAAATATATGCTTGGGTGTGTTCCTTTTTGAAAACAGACAACAAATCAGTCGAGCTTGGTAATGGAGAATGACTTTTTTCCTTCAAAAGTAGCAGCAAACATCTCCCAATTTCAAAACTTCTGTGCTATTTAGAATAAAACTGGAACTATATTCAATATTTAATATTTAATTGATCCCCCTTCCCTGCACATCAAACGTATTGTGACATTTATGTATGTGTGACAGGATTTACCTATTCTTGCAAACTACATTATTTTGGTTTGAACATCGTTCAGACGGTAATTCGTGTGATGACTCCATTGAAAAAAATGCTTTCGACCACTTTTTAGCCCGATGCCTTCAATATATATTATTCCTGAACTTATTTGAAAGCTGTTGGTATTTGCTTGTTCTTTACGTGTTTGCACCCCCGGTACCCTTTATGCTCCGTTTATGTGAAAACCAATACACTGAGTAACGTTAGAGTTTACATGTGGATATCGATGAGGAAAGTGCGGAATGTACTGGTCGGTGGTGGTTCTTTAATACAACATAAATGGTCTACTACTTCGAAAGAAAAGGTAACTTCACAAAACAAAACAAAACAAAACAAATTATCGCCATTTTCATGGAATAATTGACAAGCCACTAATTACATTCCGACTGGAGAGAAATAAACTTAGCCGGGGAATAAAATCAGGAGCGTATTTCAAATACATTTCTTTGACGAGCTTCCACCCATCCAAAGACTTACGCCCGACCAATCTCCATGTATAAAGCACTGTAAATTTTCCCGAGGGTAATGGAAGCCAATAGACTTTTCAGTGGCTGCGTCTTTTGATTGACAAAGCCCCATAATACTTTATCAAACCTGGACCACGTGTGGTTTTTATTTTTGACCGTCCCACCAATAAACGGTTTTCTTTTACTCCACCCCGCGAAAAATAATAATTCTTCCTATCTCGGCATTTCTTTATCCAAACCTGGATCATGAGGGAGGTTTATTTTTCTGCCTCCGAACCGCGTAATTGTTATTTTTATTTTGATCTTCCAATCCGCCAAAAGTATTAATTACTCATATCGCAGCATTTATTTTCTATCCAAACCTCGACTACGTGTGTTTTTTATTTGCTTACCCGCCTCCAAATAGTTTGTTTTTATTCCGAGCATCCGACCAATCGAAAATATTAGTCGTTCCCAATCTCAGGATTTCTTTATCCCAAACTGGACCTTGTTAGAATGATGTTTTCCCTGCCCAAGCGCGTAATCATTATTTTTATTCTGAGCATTAAACCCACTAAATGTATTTATCCCAACCCGGATGCTATTCGAGTTACGTTTTCCTAGCACAACCCTGTAATAATTATGTTCATTCCGAGCGTCCAAACCGCCAAAAATATTAACGCTCCCCAATTCAACATTTCTTTTCAATCCGAACCTGGACCATTTGTGGATTTTATTATTTAACCCTTATTATTTAGCCCTGTATCATCCAATGATTATATCTATTCCGACCATCCAACCAACCAAAGTTCTCCGAATCTTTGTTGCCACGATACCATTCTCCACGCAAAGGAACGCGGCATTAACATAATGTGGCTCATGTCTGAGAAGGGTGGGGAAAACGTTTAAAAAAAACCAAGTCCGTATTTTATTAAAACCAGCGGCAGTAATAAAACAGTTGGTATCACTCATCTGAATATTTAATCCGATAAGTTATTTTTTGTTAAGCTCTAGTTTTTCTCCAAGGGGCAATAAATTGATGCACCATACTGACTTTAACTGCCTATGAGCCGAACTGGGGTAGGCTGAATACTGGACTGGCTTTATAACGGTCGAGGTAGGGTCCGACCCTTTTCATACCGGGTCTAAATGGTCTTGTATCCACAATAATTTATTTGAAGCAAACTATTGGACAGAGAGAACCTTCTCCACCCGGCTTTGTGTTGGTCATTGTTATGCTGGTATCTCAGGAATTCTTTTCAGACATCTGGGGCGTGCTAATAAGTAACAATAGGCTTGAGCGTGTATGGGGTTTGGAATTGTGGGTGGGGGGTACCCCTCTGTCCCCTTTCGTGGCTGGTATATAATAATTTGCCCAATCGGCTGTCCTCTAACCAGTGTCCTCGTAGTCTCACTAATTAACTGAAACTTGATAAGTCGAGAGATGTTCTTATTCTTATTTTTATAATTTGCTTTAATCACAAGCGATGCCCTGCCTCATGGAACAGGAACCGGACCCCGCCTCCCAAAACAGGTATCGCTGGCTCCTCCCAGTGGAAGAACCCTGTCAATGCAGCGAGGTAAAGATTGGTCCACTCAACACCCGCGTGCCTTACCGACCGTTTACAGTGACCTACTATGACGCCCTTCTCATCAGTAGCAATCCGGTGGAGATCCAGTCGTGGCTGAATTGTACCGGTAACGATTTCATTACAACTTTATGAAGTAGACTGCCATATCTTTTGTATACGGATGTCGGAGGCTGTAGTAATCGACTCTCTGAATAGCTTGTTTACCTTTCCAAGCTTTCAATTTTTTTACAGATTGTGTCAGAGCAATTTTTTTTTGCAAATTAAGTACATTAGCTGATAACATCATTTTATCATGGAGTCCATGATTAACTTGCAAGTCATTATTGAATTGCAGCAATTTCACCAATGGCATCATTTTAATACATTTGCAATATTTTGAGGAGATAGTTAAAAACGTTTTAAGTTTAGCTGCAATGAATTATTTTGCAAAACAATTTTTCCACATCTGTGTGCTACTTTTCTTCAATGCGTGAAGACTCTTACACACTCCTATTTGGTTAAATGCATAGAGAAGTGCATACTTTTAAACAATTAAATAAAACTGGAACTATATTCGATATTCTATGAGCAGCATCTTGTGACGGATGGCTGCACAAGGACACTATAAGCGAGCCTCTAATTTTGACTGACACCAATATACGTACAAGTGGCCCCATTGTGCCTGCAATTTCCCGACACCAGAAATACGTGCATATCCTTCAACTGCAATAATAACAAGCTGTCGATGAATGTCTCTGCGTTGATGCCGTCGAGAAAAGCTTTCAAACGATGGAGCATATATTAAGAAGTCCATGATGAGCGTGTCAAATTTAGCCTTGATGAATAGCTGAACCTTAAAGAAACAAACAACAACCAACGAAGCGGACACGCATGGTTTAATGGCTTATCATAAAGAGGGCGAACATTCTGGTGGCAGTGAAGGAATACTGGTATTGAAATGAGTGCTTCCACTGTGAAATTGGCTTGGAAACATTTAACTGTGTAAAATAATGGTCAACTTGCCTGCTATCTAAAATGAAACAACGAATCAAGCAAAGCGAATGATACTAATGAAAGTAAAACACCCAAAATAGCATTATGGTAAAGTCTTTATGCCGTAAGAGATGAATGACACCTTCAAAAGAAATTTTAAAAAAATGAAGACAAAAAGTGCAATTTTCTCTATTGAAAGTTTTGTTTTCATTGTCGCTGCCTATTTGTGCCCATTAAATGAACATGTATATAGTTAATTTCAATTTGCAGCGCATAGTAAAATGACTTCTCAGTATTGGAGATACAAAACGAGCACACAACTTCATTAAATCATAAAATACGAGAATCTGTTGTAGACTGCCTGCTTTTGATACGAATTACGAAAGCTGCTTTGATTTGGATGTAACGGGCGGATTTAGATGTTTATGAACGAAATTTAATGCCTGGAGAATGAAAAGCAGCCAAAGGATTAGCAGTATGATTTAAATTTATTTCAATGATCAAATGAGAAAGGATGCATCTTTATGTTAACGTTCAGATTTTACACATGACACAAGAAGCGTGAAATGGGTTATGAAAAGATACATCAGCCCTCTTCAAATAAAATCACAGTTGTCAATTTTGCCTTTCTTGAACAAATTTTAGTACACGACGTGTATATCGCGAGGTAGCTACACTGACATGCTCTCGTTGATCCACGTGACTTGACGTCCATCCACCATTATTAAAGGCAATGAGAGTATTTCTATTTAAGTGGTCTCTTTCATTTTTTTTCCATCCGAAGTGTGCATTAAAGCCTAAACTGGAGCCGCAGCCCATAGGCCATAAAAGGTCACATTAGAACAAAATTCCAATATTTCGGCAAATTTGCCCTCCAGAAAATGGACTCCGGATCTGCCCAGCATTTAAATATATGACAAAAAAGCGGAGCCCGTATCCAACATGCGAACGAAAATGACAACCACTATGAGTGACCAACAAGTACCAAAAAGTATGACAAAATAACGGCTATTTTTTAATATAACAGACGGCAAACTGCGATGTTGAAAATAACACCGATAATGTAGAATTTTATTATTACTGGTGTTTATTTTGGGCAAGAAATGTGGTGCTGGGTAACATCGTTATTTTGCATTACGAGAAGCCACACTTGCACTGGTGTTAGTTTAAATTCCCCCAAATGGTGTCATCTCACTGTAGTGGTTATCATTACGTGGTAGAATCACGTAATGATAAACTTCAGATTAAGGACAATGTAGACCATTAGCAGACCACTTTTTGTGCTGACAACAAACTGAGTAGGCCTTTTCATCTTTTACTGCAAAAGCATTGCTGTATAACTACTGAAGTATATTATTTATTATTATTAACAGATTGGTTTTTATATTTGGTTTTTGGCCAGGTAATGCTGATTTATAGGCATAATTATCAAGAAAGATAGCGCTCAATCAGCCATTCTGTTTTTGACTCTGTTCTGCATGAACTTAAATAGGATAAAAGAACTATTCATTATAACAATTAACACATTTACGCAATACTCTCAATGAAAACACATCATAAACCCACTCTCCTTTGGACCTACTTAACAGAACATGTCTGTAAGAGATATACACGGTATATTCACCTGTTGATCTAATTCAAATTGACAATGAAAGGTTGCTAATAAGACTACTTTCAGAACAATTTATATTTTCTACAGGAAAAGTGATTTCTTCCTTACACACTGTTTAGAACTTTATGTATTTCTATATTTGTGGGGGATATTCAAGAGGTTTGGTACTTTTGGCAGCTTTATAAAACGAGGCACAATATCAAATAACTATTGCCCTTTACACCTACAGTACATTATGCCAAGAATTAGCAAGAGAACCCCCTGTTGAAAATTGAAGTATGCCTATGCTGTATTGACCAATCAGACAAATGTTTAGAAGGCTTCCTTTCAAAGACGCATGTGCTGTAAGACAAGTTTAACACCAATATCACGTAAAAACCGGTTCTTCTTTTCAATTTCAATGCCTGAGGAATTATTTTACCCCTCCGGAACACCAGGTTGTATTCCAAAATAATAAAAAAAGATTGGTGTTAAAATTTCCACAGTTTTTTGCAGTGCGGTTATCCGAACTGTAAAATATGCAATGTCCTATGTAAGGCGTTTGCCCGAACGCTCTTCTATGGCAATGGTGGACGGATTGCCTGGTGGCGGATGGAGTGGATTCAGCCTTACACGAGAAACAAATTTTCATTTTAAATTTACTTAAATACCTGGTGCATTGTGTCATTTTTGTTTTTCATTCTGTATTCATCTTGTATGGGGATATGCTATGTTTGTGTATGTTGCCCCTGAAGTGGATGTGCTTGATTTTTTTTTGTAACTCCTTCAAGGAAGGGTCGTTCTTGACAAGCTTAAATAATGAGAAAAGCCTTCTTGGGAGTTCCCCCATTTCATGGCTGATTTTGTCCATGGCTCCTGAGATCTGCTAACTCATTGTTAAGGTTTCCAATGCTTTTGTAGAAATTGTGTTATTGTTATATTGCACCTCAGGGATTAAATAAAGCAAGTCTACAGTATCGTGGAACTTTCACGAACATGTGCAGTTACTTGTCAGGACATCCTTATTTCTCATTACGTAACATACTTTGTTCCTCTTGACTACACGACCAGCGCTTTTGTTTGCTTGTAAACAGGGGGGGGGGTCGTTTGCTTCAATCATTTTTTTCCGGATTCAAATTCATATGCTGTTTTGTTTGCTTATTTTAAAACACCACTCATGTGAAACAAGTTCTCTTTTATTTGGGATTTGTAATGGGATATTTTTATATTTCTCTCCAAATGTCAATAATTCAATTTTGTATATATTCAGAGTGTGAAATAAATATGAATGAATGGCCAAGGGTCGGCTCGTACTACAGGTAAAAGCGAAGCAAATATGACGTTGTGAAAGATTTGCCGGGTAATACTGTTTAATACATTTGACCTGACGTCATAAATTTCCGCTTTTGCGTGAAGTATGAACAGGCTATTATGTGGTTAATTAACAGGTGTCTTTACTTGCTCCGTGGAGAAACCTCTGGGCATGGAGGATGGGCGCATCCCAGATAACCACCTCACTGCCTCGTCTGTCTTGGGAAACAAGCGAAATTGTCATGGGCCTCAAAGAGCAAGGCTTTTGCTGGGTAAGTTCTCAACAGGCAAGGACGCAACGTCTTACGGTCCAGAAATTGTAGTTTAGATCGAGACTGCAGAAGAAATCCGGGAGCAGTCGAGAGGGCACCCTGTTACTTTTTACTTCAAATAACGAAAAAGGCAGTTACAACCACCACTTTTATAGGCAAAGATACAAAGATAATATTTAAGAGACCATCCATAATACCGCAGCAAACGGATAATTTATTGAGGAAACTATCACCAATGCCGGATTAAAAGAGAAATAATATTCTACGAAATAAGTAACCTATTCCTGGTTACTTACCCAATTAAAGTACGCTGTGCCATTAATATAATTTTATCAAACGCTATCTCTAAAAATGGAACTCGGTTATTCGCAATCACGGAAAAAATTTCCATCCCTTGAAAAGGTTTCCCGTGCAGAAACATGTTACCTTACGTAAGTACATTCTGATAAATAATTTGTTTATGCTTTGAGCTCTGCAATGATGTTGTAGGCTTAAAAGCACACACTACAAATTCCAGAGGACGTATCATTCCGCAGAAGCCTACCTCGTGGTATAGGTTAGCATCATGTTCAAGGAAATATTTCACATGAAGGAGAATTCCGGATTGAACTGTAGGCCTTCTCTGTGTTTTGACAATGTTGCTTTCGGCATTGTTTGTTTGTTGAACTTCAAGAGGAAGGATGCTTATGCGGTGAACGGCTTGGAATGGAGGACGGAAGTATTCCTGACTCCAGTATCACTGCCTCCAGCGTTTTCAAAGAGCGACCAGCCGCGCCTGACAACTGCGAGCCTCACAACGGCCGGCTGAACTACCCCGGAGTAGGCTCGATTGTCGGTGGCTGGTGCCCGGCCAGGAATGACAAGGAATCCCCATGGTTTGAGGTAGATTTGGCCAAGCAACTGCAGGTAGAGGGAGTTATCATTCAGGGCAGCGTGGATCCATTGGGGAGTTGGAGGGAGCGAGTGACAGCGTACCAGGTGCAGTACAGTAATGACCGAAGTACCTGGGTGTATGTGACCAATGGAGGACCTGAGGCTGGGCCGCAGGTAAAGATTAAATGGTCTATTCTCCCGTACCTGCTCAGAATAGCAACTGCCTCGGCACAGTTGGATGGTTTGGTTATTAGGCCTAAAATAAATTTCATTGCCATTCACAAGGAATTTCCAAAAGATTACTGGAATTGAGGCACAGTATACAGGCCAATAAGTATAAATTATCAACGGTAATGTTGTGTGCACAATGCCATGTATTGGAGGGAATATGTTTTGGGGGTGCTTTTGGGATGTACAGGCCTACAAATGATAACGTTATCTCCAATAAAGACCTATATAAAAAGAAATCAATTTCCAATTGTTTAATTTTTCAATTATTGAGACCACTTTGCGTGACCCCTTGTGTCTAGTCGCACTCTGATTTGGAGACTTCAGGGACTTCAAGGACCGTACGTTTGAATGTCCATCATAAAGGCAGAAACATTAGGTGATTGTCTTTTTTTGTTTTGCTTTCCTTCTAGATAGACAAAATTCACCTGATGACACATTTGGCTGAGTCAAAGTTAACGATAGAAATCCTGGTACGATAGAACAGAGACTTTTGCACACATGATATTCTGTTTATAAGGGCAAGCAATATTTTTTGTTGTTTTCGTTCGTCTAATTTTCCTTTACTTTCGTCTGCATGATGACAGACATTTGATGGTAACGTGGACCAAACCACCCCAGTCAACAGCAGTTTTAACAAGCCCATTCAAGCTCGCTACATCCGTATCAGACCGACCAGCTACAATTCTTGGCCCTCGATGCGGGTTGAACTCCTCGGCTGCAAAGGTAAAGCCCTTTTAACCCTTTGTGCGTCGATTATGTCTGTGGCGTATTACCCTTAACTTACCAAAGTCTGTGGAGCCCATTTGCCCCCGGGTCCTATACAAAAATGGTCCGGACCTCTTGACAGCAAACAAGGTATAAATGCAAGACATTTGCAGATAATATTTTCTGTAAATATTGCCGGTGTGGAATCTTTCACACCGCTGCAGAAGCTGAAGATCATAGTTTGAGATTTTAACAACTGGACTTATATAAGTGCTCAAAGCTTCAAACGAGTTATCCTGTTAAAAGGTGAACATGTCGTTTTTCCGGGAATTGCAAGATATTATACTTGCTATTGTAATATTAAGGCATGTATTTACCGTAGGCGCACGTGTCATGTTGAAAGTTTAACTGCCTTGAGCAGGAACACCCCCTTTTCGGTTGGAAAGAGCCATATTATTTTGTCGAGAGTGCTCAATTTTTATCAGTAGTGATGTGGCCGTAAGGTATGCATTTCATAGTCATCTGTGAACCAGCGAAGCTTAGAATCTGATCCTACCGATGGAACTCGCGTTGCTAGGGAAAAAGGGGACCTCTCGTGGTTCAGTTTGATTCACATATACCGATCTGCAAAGCCCTGCTCCACTGTGTTCTGGCCAATCACAGCTGTGATTTGTGTCCGACATACGTCCACAAAAAGTCCAACATGCGTACACTGGCGTAAATGCGATGCACATGTATAAAACATGCATGGCACTGGAGAAGCAGTTAAGCGCCCACATGCACAGTGGGTGTGTCTCACGTGATCGGTGTATTGTTCAAATGTACGGAAGCATCTTGCTGCCAACGCCAAAAATTATCTCGTTTTTCTCGTTTATCTCGACTTATTATCTCGTTTAATTATCTCGTTTAAATCGATACATTAGCTATCTTGTTTAAAAGACGTATTATCCCGTTCAAATGACATAATGTAGATTTAATAATATCGTTTTATACAAGATGAAGTAATTTTTCACGTTGGCAGCAATACGCCTCGCACACATGGTCCATCTTAAAATTTGAGTGTTCCACAAAAAATAAGGTTTTGATTTACCTTTCCAAACGGCTGTGTGGGCTATGGGTGATGAGCAGAAGCATGCGCATGGGCGCGAATCCTGGGGAAATGGGAATTATATATCCTCGGACATGTTGACCAGGAGAGAGGCCATTAAATCATCTCAAGGGCGGACCCGGGGATCTTGGGGATGGGCGGTCAGGTCCGAGATTTTTTTTTAAATTTGTCACTTTTTAGTATAAAAAATAATGAAACACGAAACATGACATATTACTTACAATGGTATTGCTACACTTATTCCCCCATTTTCTCGGTTTAGTTTTTGCACACGGAGAGATGTATTTGACCCCCAACGCCCTGGATCAAGGCTTACATTCCACCCACACACTTTGTAGTGGTGGGAACGAAATTGAAACAGATTGTGAAGATTTTTTCGGACTTTCCAAAAATAAAAATGTGCTCAAATATTAGTCAAAAGGAGAGAGCAATCAGATGTACACCTGTATTATGGATGTCGCTCCCGAAAAAGGCTTTATGATGTTAAAAGGTGTCAACCCCCCTCCCCTCGATTTCCAACTTTCCAATGGGAGGTCTTTTTTCAGAAAACCGATGTCAAAATGACTGCAAAAAGTTACCCTAGAATCTCCTAAGGGCTCATCTTTGAAAAATATGCTCTGCGGAGATATCCGGAAAAATGTCGAGGGGGAAGAGGGCGGATCTCTTTGAGGGAATTAAGAGAAAAAAGCCTTTCACATGTTTAGTTCATTTCGATGTTCTCAACGGGGAAGGTATTCAGGTAACACGGGTATCCGCTGGAGTGGTCCCTGTGTCCCATCAACTTGATCATTTTGACAGCACTGACCCCTGGCAAGGTGACAGTTTGCCGCAGCATGGCTGTCAAGTTCTATTCTTGCTCTTGAAACCACTGTAGGAACAGCAAGGTGCGGTTACACTTTGATTAACATTACTAAGCAATCATATTTTTTTCAGCATAGCAGGATATTTTGATTTTGTTTGAATAAAGGCAAGACTTCCCGAGCAATTAGGCTCCTCGAGCAGGTGTTTATCGCACAAATCTTACCTACCTCGCTACCAACACCCTTCGAGCAATTTTAAGGGAACATTCGGAAAAGGAAACCGCTCCAACCGCTGGTTTTCTGGGATGAAAACTTTAACTCTCAACTGTCCCATCTGGAACAACGACCTCAAATGTAGAAAATGTTGAGAACTTTTCTATGAACAGCTATATCTTCCTTTTTAAAATGATCACCCCAATCATGGTTACAAAGAAAATGCTCTTCAGAGCTCCCAAGGGAGAATTCTACAGTTATTGAATTAGTCTCAGATTTGTGTTGACGCTGCATTAAATTTAACTTACGTTCTTGTCTCTGCAGCAATTTCGTCTCCTTTATCCCTTCATGGTGCATTGTCAAAGCAAAGTCGAGTTTTGTCACCAATAAGGGCTATATACTCATTGCACTCTATGAAAGTTAAAAATGCATTTTTTAGAAATCCATACGCGATTTTGTGAGCAGCTTCTTCGTGGTATCGAAGTCTTACGCTTTAAGGATACTGCTTCTATTCTCTAATCTGATGAAAGAAATGAGAAAAGGTTTTGATTCATAGATATTTTAGCACCTAGGCCTATATCGCACAGTTTCCTGTATTGGAAGCCTTATTCCTTTTTTATTCTAAAGCGTGACCAACTTCAAACTTGATTTCTCAAAGTTGATCTCTGAGAGTAGACCTGTCACTTTGGAGAAATTGTTGACGATATGCCCGCTGTGTCGTCCACCAGTTTTGAAGGGTAGTAAAGGTGTTGTGGGGAGATAAGGGCGGCAGACTCTCACACCTTTTACTTGAAGGGGGTCTCTCTCTCTCTCTTTCTTTCTTTGTACACCAGAATCAGTGGGTTTCTTGTGCTGGTGTGCCGCTAAGAACGATACCAATCCCTGGATGCAAGTCAATTTCAATAACACAGTACTTATCACGGGGTTGATCACCCAAGGATGTGGTGATGATGACTGCCAACAATGGGTGACAGCGTACACAGTGCACTACAGTAACAGCGGCCAAACGTCCTGGACCACGGTGAAGGATCACGAGGGAAAACCAGTAGAGGTCATTGATCTGTAATTTCATTTCCACATTAGTTTATTTCGAGTCTTGCACACAGTTGCCAGCTAATACCTCGTAGCCTCCCAAGAAAGCTGAATATCTTTTTCAAAGCTATAATCTTGAAATTCGTCTATGAAAAGAGACACGCTGATTTCCCTATTATCTATTTCAGAAAATAGTTGTAGTTAGTTTTACCCTAAGGAACTTCATGAAATACTGTGGTAATATAGCAGTGTATTATTTGATTAAGGACAAACTAATCCTACTTCAAGAGAATTAAGTAATGAAAATTGTCTCCCAACGCATCTTAGGATTTGAACGAACTCTTCAGTTTTGGATAGAAACGTGCCAAACTTCAATTTAATGCTAGAACAACAACTTCTAACGTTTATTTGTTGACAATAAACGTACTTTCTAGTTGCTTTCTTTCTCAGGGGAGGTTACCTTAATTAGATGGAGAAACTCCTCAAATACTTTAAAACCATACAAAAGGCATTATCACAAACAGACAGTGGCACTACCCCCTTGATCTATTTCAGGTGATCAATGGCAAACTGGCTGAAAAGTGGCGCATCTGAAACAAGCTAAACCTTTACTGACATTCATTTCTGATTTCTATTTCCAGTTTTTGGGGAACAGTGACAATCACACCCTAGTCCCAGCTCGATTTGCGGAGGTCGTGCGCACCAGGTATCTTCGTTTTTTACCAACTGAATGGAACGGGCTTTGCTGCATGAGATTTGAGGTGATGGGTTGCACTGTTGCCAACTAAAGGCAATGGGTCTGCTTTCAACTGAGTTGAGACTGCACCCTGATGGCTTCATACTGATGGCTCTTTGGTACGTGCAGGGGAAGAATATCAGTGTCAAATAGTTATATTTATTCAGCATATCTTCGTTAAAATTAGCGTGGATGGAGTTTTCGATGGTGAATCAATGACTTGAGATTGCAAATATAATGTGTGACAGGATGTAAATAGAGTGAATGCTATTCACAACAGCACGCAACACAAATAATAATTACTACAGCACGCAACGGAAACAGACACCTTGAAAACTGCTTCGTTGGTTTTATTTACTAGTTTGAAAATGTTTTATTTTAGTTTTAGTTTTAACAAGATTTCAATAACAGTTCTGGTAATTGTTTCTTTTCAATATGAATATTCCATTTCATTTGATTCAATCAAATACATGCACTCTCAGACAAAACTACATATATGTAATAAAATACCGTTTTAGAAACACCACAGGAACTCCCTAGGAGTTATGTAATAAATTACCGAACACTTGGTCGGTAAAATGTTTCTTCAACAAATTTACGTCTTTTTATGTAATTGTATTTACACCATTATTAGGTATAGAAAGTTATGTAAGATTGTAGTTAGTGATGTGTAATTATATTTACATAATAGTTAAGTTAAAATATTTATGAAAGTAGGTGAAACAATACTTCATTTCCATGCAATATTATACCCAGTCACACCAACGCAAAATTGACCTAAAATGACAACCTATATTTTTATTTGTGCTGTCACTGGGGATTTTTGAGCCCCATCCTGTTATTGTTGGTTTGAATATCAATTTCGTTCTAAATGGTTTAAAAATCATTCGTGAATGTACTGTGGCGAAACAGGGTAGCTGCGCAGACTTGTGTTTAGTCTAGGTCATTAATAATTCAGGCACGTCTAATTCATGCATTACACATGCCACGGTAACCAATCAGAGGCGAGCATTACCTTAGGTCTGGGCGCTGGCTGCGTGGGTTGCCGGGACTTCTCAAGATGGCAGCTTGCTAACAAGAGCTCTGTGGAGTTGTGTTGTATTCTGGGTTTCGAGAGTAAATCTGACGTACGACCGCTGGTGGTTGGGGATCTACCTCAAGTGTACCTGGTGCGATCGGTTAGTGTGGTGCTTGTTCTCAGTTGCCGGAGCTGCTGATTATATCAGATCTCTTTGAAGATTGGGGAATCGTTGTACAGTCTCGTTTATTTAAGAAGTGGTGGATTATAGGGTAAGGGAACCCGTGTGCACCAGTCAATTGGGGAATTAGCGAAGCTTAGACTAGAAGGATTGTGTGCCGTTGTTCCATGCTTGTTGGCACAGCGACGGTTGGTTGCGGTCCTGGTCTAGGAGCTTGCTTTCCTCTGGTGAGGACTATTATAATCGTCTTCTTAATCAGCTTACCTATGTTATTTCGTAATAACTTGAAGTGGGTGAGGGTTATTTAAGTCACCTTAAACCTTGTGGCAGTTTGGGAACTGTGTTGCTTGTAAGGCAGTATAGATTATTGTTGTACAAGTCTACACCGTTGTGTTGTGTTGTACAGTAACGAAGATTGTAATTGCTTGTGTGGTTAAGACTTATCAGTTATAAGCCATCGGTATATTATTTATTTAGACTTGAGGGTTACCCTGATCACTGTGAGGTTTACCTGGTGATTGTGAGGGTTACCCTGATCGCTGTAAGGTTTAACCGGATCACCGTGAGGGTTATTCTGGTGTAGGTTAAGGATAAGGCTTATTAATCTCGTTCGTGGTGCAGTTGACCACGTAGGACTACCTCCCCGTGAGGATAATTTTGTATATAGTTAATTGCTGTTGTATATAACGGATAACTGAGCACTGGCATTGAATTAACCAATCATATAATTGCCTTGGATATCACTGGTCACCGTGAGATTTAGTTCAGTACTCTATCACTTATTGACATTTATTGTAATCTTTATTGGCATTGGGATCAATTACCTAATCACAAAGCGGTGGTAAACTTCCACCAAACGAACAGCCCCTAAGGCATAGTCCACCTTTCGTTAACTGATACCCCCCTGCGTTTGGATAGCCGCTCATTCTTGCGTAAGGTTAAATAAATATATTTGTGCGGTTAGGCCAGGTCAATTATGCATTATGCATATACGATGAGCTTGACGTACGTATCCCTGAAGTCATAATGGTCATCATTTGACGTGTTTGATCACAAAATACTTAAGAAGGGGCATCATGTATGTTATGGTACATGTACATTGCTGGTTCAAAACTGTGGTACCAGGAAACAAACACAGTTTTCTAATAACTGGATTTCAAGCCTTTTGCTTACTTCAGCAGTGAAGGCCTACCCCCACCCACGTGCACACACAGGCATAGATGTGGGATAGTTCCTTTGTTCTTGTGAGAAGAAAGTTTGTACAACATGCCAAAATGTCTAATCCCTTCCACTTGCAACGGAATCCCTTTTCTGGTTGACAATATCGGCTAAACGTCCCTTGTTTTTGCCACAAATAAATACAATAGGATACCTCACCTTATTCCAGTACCCCACAACCCCTGTATACACACACTCACATAAATCAATTAAATTCCAAAACTTACCAACTTGCAATACTTTAGGCCAGTGAATCCAAGGGTCTTATTGCCTGAAAAAAATTACAATTGTTAATAGAAGTTATAACAGATATTAAAAAACAGAGTTTAAAAACAGACCTTTCTGTTTGATGAATGTCAAAAGTTTGTCTGCTGTGCCAAAACAATACTGCAAGGAACCCTTTAGAATTGGTGAGGCCGTTATGACGTAACATAAACATTTACCTGAGACTCTTCTGGATCCGCCATGGCCAGAGGAAAGCCTATTTAAGAATAAAGTTTGGGTTAATTATGTAATATTCATAACGTACACGTTTTAACAACAGTACAGCTGTACAGAATCAGAGCTGTATGAACCAATAGGCAGTGCAAGTTTATATGTCAGACAGTGGATATCTCAATGTCAACTGGCTACAGTACCAATATACATGCGTGCTTCTGAGGCACGTTCAATAATGTAATGCGAGGACTGGATGCGTAATGACCAAGGTCAACAATAGAGATAGCGTACATACAAAGTATACCAATACCAAAGTCATATTGCACAACACGGGCGATTCACAATAGTGCGCCACCAAGAGTTTGCAACATGTTGGTCAATCATAACGCACAAAATTTGTCGACCCTTTCCAAGTGCGCATTGTGTCGACAAATTTTGCGCGCTGTGATTGGCCAAAGCGTTGCAAACTCTTTGTGCACAATTGCGAAACGGTCGTATTAATCATTCGTCCCTACTCTCTCACTAGCGTGGTAACTGAACATATTCAAGTCCTGGAAGATGGATGTCATCATTAAATACATAATACATTTCTTGAGTAGGCCCTCCAATGCACGTTCCAATGTAAGCCTATTTGTTTCTTTTGATACAAAAGTTACTGCAAAATATGCAAGATATTTGCCATTCTCACAAAATATTTCTGCACAATGCACATGATGCATGACGCTATGACACAAAGCCTTTTGTGTCGGAAAAACAAGACAGAGATTGAAAATTTGGGGACCCTGTTTCTATAATAGAAAAGAGAAAGCATTTCAACTTTTGAATCCATCTTTGTTGACGACTGGGACATGCTCAATATCTCTAGGGTTGATGTCAAAAAAGGGCACGGATTTGAGTTTTGAGGGAAATGATGAGGATAATCTGTGTTTTAATTACATGACACATTGTCGATTCAAATTTACGTGGCAAGTTTTAAGTAAAAAGTCACATTTTCTCACAATTTATGATTCGAAATTTCCAAAACTAGGCTCAGCACAAAAAAGTGTTGCCATTGTTCGGGGGGAGGGGGCTTACCCATTTTGCAAAAGAATAAAATGACAAATTTGGGGTTCCAAAGTATACAATCCCCGACAAGACTTCCCATATCTGGTAAGACAAACCTTTCGCTAGGCCCCAGCAAAACAAAAGATTTGCAGTAGTAGGCTTTACAGGCCTACTCATAAAACTAGGTCAGCCAATCATCACAGCAGTATTTGACTTTCAAATGGCTGCAAAAAAAGTTGGTCATCATAGGCCCATGTTCATTACTGATTTCCAGAGTTTCGTTGATGAAACCTTTCAAATACGGGTTGTTTTTGCGCAGGTAACTGATCCTAGGAAGGTTTCCGTTTATAGAACCGTGGTCAGGCCTAGGGTAGGCCTAGACTAGCATGACAAGGCTTAGCCCCGCTAGTGTGGCACGGACTCTAACTGCTGCTCCATCCTTAGGCACACATCCGTATACGCAATTTCGTGTCGACGTACTGAAAATTTTCGGCGCACCCACTTATCGTGGGCACAATTTCTTTTGCACACCGACATGATCCTTGACCTTTCCGCTTTCTAAAAACCATTTATTGAATGATTTCACTACGTTATTCCGCCGGATATTTTCCAGTCTTTTGCCTTTATCCATTCAATCTAACGGGCTTGCTCCCACAGTCGCCATCTTTAAAATAAGGTCGTTGAACATTACGTCACTTGACCCCTAATCTTCTCGACGGCTGTTCCATCCCAAGCTTCAGACATATTACATCTGCTGTCTCGCCGACCGATTTGCACGTACACGTAAGTTTACGACTGAAGCATTCAATTTTTTAGTGTTGAGGCAGATGGACAATATAAGTGTAACATCCGAAAGTCATTTTTGTTAACAGTTTCTGTGTAGATTTGAGAACTATGCCAACGTTGTCTTCTTCTTGTTTATGTTCAAGTCCACGCGCGTTGTTGACTCCTACCAATGGAGAAATAAAACATTAGGCCTACATAGTACCAGTACATAGCGTCGCCTCAAAGCAGGAAGGGCTCAAAAAAGCAGTTGATTTTGTTGTCGATATAGAATGATAATGAAGGAACTCTTTATCTTATTTGACCAAAACGACCCTGATATGTACATACATTTAGATGCAGACACCTATTCTTGTTCTTTGAACTTTATTGACGGTTAAAGCTTATGTTTTAATTATACATGAACACAATATAAGACCAAACTACATATTTGATATAAATTATATAATTGTACATGAAGATGATGCTGTCAAACAGCTTTTATGGACATAGGAAGCTATATACATTTTGAAATTTTTTTGTGTTGTTTTGTCAATTAAAGAAGGGTGCTTTGCTGTTTAGTACGACATACCTCACCTAACAGGATGCAGTGTCCAAGTTGGATGCCAGAAACAACCTTGAAATTTAAATTTCACAGTGCCTTCTTCCTACTTTCCTTACTTTATACAAATTCATCAAAGACATCACTGGATGCAGGACAAATCGTTAAATGAGGAGCAGTGACTTTGACAATTGCTTAACATTTAGGTGAACATTAATTGACTGAAGTGTGACAAGAAACAAATTGTGCTCACGAAAGGCAAGTATTGTAAATGTAGTAAATGTATTCAAGATAATTGTAACAAATCCTCAGAATCTGTCTGCATTAAGTTTTCAAGTCATGTAATTTGTGACCCGCATGTAACTACCATTATACATTTTTACGATCAGATATTGCCATGGATAGTTGATGGTCTGGACCCTGTGGACAAGACTTTTTGTTGAAGGTGAAGTGTGCATAGTTGTTTCGAAAGTCTGTTGGATTCTGGCTTACAGTTAATGTACATGTTCCTGGGACATCCTGCTATGACACAGGTTAGCTTTTATTTCATGTAATTGTTTCAATTAAGATACCCTACCATAAGTTTCATTACGCAGCGTACTATGAATGAACATCTCGCAAACATATTGTAAAAACCTACGTGCACACAATATCACTTTAAGAAAGACAAAAAAAAACGTTTTGTTTTCAATAATGCTTACTTTGACCTGACGTCTTTGTTCAAAATCTACTCTTCAGTAATTACATGCTAACCACCAAACATTACATGTGCATGGTGCCTGGTCAGTCCAGGATGTAGTGTAGTCAGATCGAACCTGTCCCTAAGATTTCTTTCACATGAACCCTTCATGACAGATGCCTTGATACATGTAGTTATACAAACAGTGAAAACAACTTCATGAATGTTCAATGCCTTCATGTGATTTGGTTCTGCAGATTTGGGATACCTGGTAGGCTGTGATGGACAACAAACCGCAAGTATGCTGAAGGAAGTAGTTAGGTATTCTCCGAAAAATGAAAGTGTCATCATAACTTACTTCTAAGTTCCATTTCAGACTATGAGCACTGAAACATGTTAATGTAGTGACAAGTAGGTGTATAGTATTGAAAATTGCAGCTGTGGGAAACCGTTACGTTGTGAAACAACACAAACCATCTACATTGTTTTTCAACTAAAAACCAGTGAATTGGTTCTATGTTTACAAAGGTTGTAGCATTACACCTTCCAACTAAGACAGTTGGCTCCAAAGGGAATTAAGCTAGCATTATCAACAGGGGAAAGCATTGAGCAAGGAAGACACAAGTTTTTTGGCGATATACCTGTAATGAAGTCTTTGTTGAAAAATACTACAAAATCATGCAAGGCCGATGCACGTGCCATCAAATATAGAGCAGCCTCTTTGATCTGCAGCAGTAAATATGAAAATACCCTTTCTTGTCTGCTTCGGAACAATAAAGGAAAGGCTGCTCTTGGCAGGTCTTACAAAGGCGTATTAGACAGGAGACCAAATCATACCCAACAAAGCAACATCATCAAAAGATGTCAACGCGGACAACATAACCAAGTGGAGTTGGGGAGCCATCATTGCTGAANATGCATACACGACTGTTTCGAAGGGAACAAGAGTTCATAAATTATGAACATGCATACACGACTGTTTCGAAGGGAACAAGAGTTCATAAATTATAGCAGCAATTTCAAGGCTGGTGCTCAAAGTCATCAATCTGTGTCAGAGATCATAGCAAAATGCTCCTGAAAAGCTCTACCCACAAAGAAGTGCTCCATGAGATTCCATCGATGACGACTTTGTATTGGCCATGATAAGTGTTAGGCCTACACGTAAGTTTACGACTGAACCGTCGAATTTTTTAGAGTTGACGCAAATGGACAATATAAGTGTAACATCTGAAAGTCATTTTTGTTAACAGTTTCTGTGTAGATTTGAGAACTATGCCATCGCCGTTTTCATCACGTTCAAGTCCACGCACGCTGTTGACTCCTTTCACTTCAGTGTCTTCCGCACTCTACCAATGGAGAAATAAAACATTAGGCCTACATAGTACCAGTACACGTCGTCGCCTCAAAGCAGGAAGGGCTCAAAAAAGCAATTGATTTTGTCGGCAATATAGAATGATAATGAAGGAACTCTTTATCTTATGTGACCAAAACGACCCTGATACATACATTTACACGTAGACACCTATTCTTGTTCTTTGAACTTTATTGACGGTGTGTATCGAAAGCTTATGTTTTAATTATACATGAACACAATATAAGACCAAACTACACATTTGATATAAATTATATACATGTACATGATGCTGTCAAACAGCTTTTATGGACATAGGAAGCTATATACATTTTGGAATTGTTTTGTCAAATAAAGAAGGGTGCTATGCTGTTTAGTACGACAAACCTCACCTAATAGTATGCAGTGTCCAAGTTGGATGCAGAAACAACCTTGAAATTTAGATTTCACGGTGCCTTCTTCCTCCTTTCCTTACTTTATACAAATTCATCAAAGACATCACTGGATGCAGGACAAATCGTTAAATGAGGAGCAGTGACTTTGACAATTGCTTAACATTTAGGTGAACATTAATTGACTGAAGTGTGACGAAACGAATTGTGCTCACAAAAGGCAAGCATTGTAAATGTAGTACATGTATTCAAGATAATTGTAACAAATCCTCAGAATCTGTCTGCATTAAGTTTTCAGGTCATGTAATTTGTGATCCACATGTAACTACCATTACACATTTTTACGATCAGATATTGCCATGGATAGTTGATGGTCTGGACCCCGTGGACACGACTTTTTGTTGAAGGTGAAGTGTGCACAGTTGTTTCGAAAGTCTTTTGGATTCTGGCTTACAGTTAATGTACATGTTCCTCAGACATCCTGCTATGACACCGGTTAGCTTTTATTTCATGTAATTGTTTCAATTCAGATACCCTACCATAAGTTTCATTACGCAGTGTACTATGAATGCACATCTCGAAAACATATTGTAAAAACCTATGTGCACACAATATCACTTTAAGAAAGACTAAAAAAAAGTTATGTTTCAATAATCCTTACTTTGACCTGATGTCTTTGTTCAAAATCTACTCTTCAGTAACTACATGCTAACCATCCAACATTATATGTGCATGGTACATGGTCAGTCCAGGATGTAGTGTAGTTAGGTCGAACAACTTCCTGTCCCAAAGATTTCTTTCACATGAACCCTTCATGACATATGCCTTGATACATGTAGTTATACAAACAGTGAAAACAACTTCATGAATGTTCAATTCCTTCATGTGATTTGGTTCTGCAGATTTGGGATACCTGGTAGGCTGTGATGGACAACAAACCGCAAGTATGCTGAAGGAAGTAGTTATAGGTGTTCTCCGAAAAATGAAAGTGTCATCATTGCTTACTTCTAAGTTCCATTTCAGACTATGAGCACTCTGATACCCAAATACCGAAACATGTTAATGGTAATAATGTTAGTGACAGGTAGGTGTATAGTATTGAAAATTGCAGCTGTGGGAAACCGTTACGTTGTGAAACAAGACAAACCATCTACATTGTTTTTCGACTAAAAACCAGTGAATTGGTTCTGTGTTTACAAAGGTTGTAGCATTACACCTTCCAACTAAGACAGTTGGCTCCAAAGGGAATTAAGCTGGCATTATCAACAGGTGAAGCATTGAGCAAGGAAGACACAAGTTTTTTGGCGATATACCTGTAATGAAGTCTTTGTTGGAAAATACTACAAAATCATGCAAGGCCGATGCACGTGCCATCAAATATAGAGCAGCCTCTTTGATCTGCAGCAATAAATATGAAAATACCCTTTCTTGTCTGCTTCGGAACAATAAAGGAAAGGCTGCTCTTGGCAAGGTCTTACAAAGGCGTATTAGACAGGAGACCAAATCATACCCAACAAAGCAACATTACCAAAAGATGTCAACGCGGACAACATAACCAAGTGGAGTTGGGGAGCCATCATTGCTGATGCAGAGGCTTACATGCCTATTTTTGGTGACTGCCCTCAAAGCTGCCCTACCAGACCCAGCTATACGTCAAGGCACATTTCCAGTTGGCCGCAAGAAAAACCGCCGTGTGTCAAAGGCCGATGCTACAGTGCAGCGCAGCCAGAGACTTGGCATAATGCTAGCAATGATCATGTACTCACATCGTCCACTCGTGTTCAATTTCATTCGAGGCTGTTTAAGCATTCAGCTGTGGAAACATGGGTGTAGTCAGAAGCTTCTCAGCTACTTGCAAAACCTAGGACTGACGAAGGGTCCAAAAGGCACCATTGGAACAATTGACAGAGTTCGTAAGGGTTTCAAAGAAAAACTACATACATGGGAAAAAACAAAAACATGCATCACACAAATGCTAGGTTAAGTCGTAGGAGGACGTGCTTATGGGCGACAGATGCTAGTGCCTCAAATCTACCAGTAAGAAGCACGGATAAAAAAGACTTTGGAGTGGATGAAGATTGCTCCACATGTGAGGATGATTCATTGCAGGATGAGTATGATGACGGGGAGAAACATAAGGCACATTATACACGTAGACTCTGTTGTGACTGACAGAATAGACGTGGGAATCAAAGATTACGATGAATTTTCATCAGATCAGGTTGTATCACATCTTGAAGTTGTCCCACTGTCGTCGTGTGAGACGGCTGGTCCACATTCAGTTGACTTTGATGAAAGTGATGATAATAGTGCAATTGTGCCTAGTGAGCTTGGGCACTGTGATGTTTGGGATAACGTACAGATCCAAACTGCAGCCAGATATCAATCTCGCATGCACAGCAACAAGTTCGGGATGTGGGCCCTAACCTTCGCTGTCAGGTATCGTGTTTCTTTTAGCCATGAGCAGAACATTGGTGTTGTGAAGGCACAAGACATACCACTATCAACTCTTCCACCTTCAGCATCTACTTGGAGTAAACTGAGGGAGAGAATGACCCTGGTTGTACAAGTGATCCTCAAGTCCGCATCATGGAGAACCTGTATTAATTTGTGCCAGGTACTCCAAATTCCATGCATCCAATCCCTTGCTTTGGAGATGATCTTTCAGTGGAAAGAATGTGTGACGCAAAGTGAGCGAGGGCGGGGAAAGAAACACCCCAAGATTGACTCAAAGGTCTTGTGCAATGCCATCAAGAGTTTCACCATCGAAGTTTGCTGTTACAAGACAATGAATGACTTGTTCACAGGTAAAAGTGCAACAGACCAGTGGACCCTACCAGCTCAATTAGGATTTCGGGCACAGGTCCGTTAAAAAGAAGCAATGGACAACTTCAACGCTGTCTTCGACCTTGTGCGTTTTGCAACTGAGGCATATACAGTGATGTTGGCCATGAAGCATGCCAAAGTTTACGACCCGAATGTTCCACCCGCACCATTCGCTTCTACAACAGATCCCTCTGGGCAAACACAATGGTTGAAGACCCTGACACAGGCAGTAGTGGATTTCATTTGGCCAGGTGTTCCATCAGATGAGATGGCCATCAGCGGGAGCAGGAAAATCATAATTTGGAGGATGCAGAGTTTCTTCGGGACATTGGGGACAGTGTTGAAGAAGGCAATTGTAGCTGTAAAGAAAATACTGGTTAATCAATGATTCGATGTTCAAACCATAATTGTGGCTTTTCACTACAGCTGTGTCAACTTCCAGGAGCCCCCATAAGGTGATTGGTGGTGCTCAAGAGCATGCCAGAATGCGGTTGATTACATTTACTGCAGTTTTCATAAGAGGACTGGCCGAGAAGACGAAATGGTACAGTGCAAGTTACAGGAGAGATGCATCCGTCATGAATGCTACCATTTGGAATGCATAGATGTTGGTGATGTGGGTGACCCGCCTGACAAATTGTATTGCTGTTCACAGTGCAGAAAGGAAAGTTTTGATGATGATGATCACGACAAGGATGGCGTGCTTGAATATTCTTAATCATTGCTGTATCAGGGCTTGTACCATCGGGCCCTCAGACAGGCCATTCGAGAAGGTGATGCACGAGTCATCATGGATCACTGGCGTCTAGACATTCCTGCATCTTGGAACAAGAAGCATCACAAGTATTTCATACTTGCCCACAAAACGTTGGTAGGAATGTCTGGATTCTATCTGTGGCGGGCACGCCCCCATTAGGGGGTATTTTAACAGGGTTCTTTGTTCAGCACTCTGAAGAGGCGTGGAGAGTCACGTTTCCACACACGAGGCAGGCAGGCGATGTTTTGCCCGCTGCCGCGTGGTGGCGCCGTGACTACTCCGCGGTGGGTCACGCAAGGGATGTCGCCTTACCGCCCCTACATATCCACCAAGGATAGCTCAAGAAATTGTCTGGAATAGGGTGGCAATCTGACAGGAAATAGGATGGAAACATCGGGATTGACCTTGTTAATGAATTTTTTAACAAGGATTACAAACAGATGCTAGCACGATCAAGGGGAGTGTGCACCAAAGAGCAGGTTCAGCGCTGCAGTGAAATCAGCGGAGCCTTTGGTCGAGATCTTGATGACATTTTCATGTCTGCAATTACTGGTAGGACTGGCAAATCATCCAAAGGCCAACCTGCTGAATTTCAAGCAGATGTCAAGCAGTTCGGTGCTGAATACAAGGATGACGACCTGTTTGAATTTGAACCAGGGCGTCGACACAGTGCCTTCCTAAAGTATTGTCATTCTTTACATTTTAAAGATCCAGCTAAGTTAGGTGTCGATAATGTTGTGGGCGAAAGGTTGTGGGGAGGCGATGAACAGCTGACTGCTGTGGGGTATGTAATGGCAGTTGCACGTATGTTCATGGCGCTCATTACGAAAGCGCGCTCGCGCAAGATTTGCACTTGACAACAGCATAGCAACAGGCGCTCTGATTGCAAAATGAGGCGTCGTCTTTGTCATTGGATTTCCAGGAAACCGAGCACAACTAAGTGAATTTTTCATGAGAAATAATGTCAGGTAGCAGCATTTCATATGTTCTCTCAGTGTTTACTTAGTCACAACCGCGGGTAGGAGTTTTTTCTACCCTGTTTACGCATGTCTCATTTAAGGAATTTAATGTTTAATTAAAATTTGAGGCAGAATGTAATTCTTTCGGAACTAACAATAATTAACCTTAACACCTCCTGTGTCATGGACAAAATGTGCCAGAATGAGCCACTTATTGTAAGGCCATAAAGGGTTGGATGTCAAATCCCCTACGTTATGGCTTATATACCCTATTATTTTGTCCATACTTTGCTTGCTCAAATGGCGTCCATGCAAATGAAGATCTCTGATCTTGACCAAGACTGTGCATAATGTGGTGCGTAGGCCCAAAAAAAGCAAGGCGTACACCTGTGTCTATCTTGAGCACTACCTATGTCTACCTTTTCCCCTTCCTAGCTACTAAATGAAATTCCCATTGTCAAGAATAAATTACCATGTTTAATAATACAGTAATACATCGAACTACACAATACAATATATCAGTGTAAAAAATAAAGATATGTATAGTCACATAAATGCAATTTAGACGAACGGAATTTGCTTCAGTTTCTTTGTCGAGCGATGTCACAGAGTAACTCTTCCCCGACCGTCGTATCTTGGCATGTTACTCGCTTTGGGCGTTTGTTTTATACGTCCTTATGGAAACTGAACTGAACGCGACATGATATTTTAAAAATTCCACTGATAAAAAATAATGAAATTATAACCGTCTGAACAGTGTTGACAGAAGATTTTCAACGTAAATTTCATCGGTCGCACCACTGATATACATGGTCAACAGTACGTGGTCAACAAACTTTTCCCGTGAATCACTTCGTAAGGCAACAAAAGTAATGCAAATTTATATATACAGCATGCAAAGTGCAACTTTCACTCGTTTTCCAAATGATTTACATTGGTATAACTTCATTTACAAACATAAAGAAAAGTGTATCTTAAATTGGGTTAATTGTACAATAACAGTAGGTCCTATGTACTTAACTAGTTCCATAAACTGTTTATTTGAAAACTGTATTTTAGTTTGAACAGATGTTTAAAACGTTCTTACTAACTGATTCCTTTCAATTTGAGAACATTGGATTTCATTTACTTCAGTCAAACACAAGCCTGTGCCGAATGTTTCGATGTCCATTGATATCATGAATGTGTTTCCTTTAGGATTTTGAGGACGAAAACTTTATAATTTCATAATTCGATGTCTAACAAAACCTGTGAAACATTTTTCAAGATTTCCGTTGCGGACTGTTGCGAATATTAGTGCCCCCAAAATGTTCACTCTGTTTACATCCGGTCACACTTTATTTTGTAATCTCAAGTCACTGATTGACAAACAAGAACTCAATTCAGGCTGATTTTAACATAGATATGCTGAATAAATATATCTATTTGACACTGATATTCTTCCCTTGCTCGTACCCAAGAGCCATCAGTATGAAGCCATCAGGGTGCAGTCTCAACTCAGTTGAAAGCAGATCCATTGCCTTTAGTTGGCAACAATGCAACCCATCACCTCAAATCTCATGCAGCAGAGCCCGTTCCATTCAGTTGGTATGATACGAAGATACCTGGTGCGCACGACCTCTGCAAATCGAGCTGTGACTAGGGTGTGATTGTCACTGTTCCCCAAAAACTGGAAATAGAAATCAGAAATGAATGTCAGTGAAAGTTTTGTTGGTACAGTTTGTTTCAGATGCGCCACGCAAGTTTCAGCCAGTTTGTCAGTGATCACCTGAAATTATTGCCGTCAGGCCCAAACACCATTTCGAACGCGCCCACTTGCATGCGTGCCTCAGTCTAACACAGAAGAAACCAGTTTAGTTTGTGTCATTTGGCTACAAACCAGGGATTTTATTTTTCTATGTTCTAAAGTATTACATTACATCCATTTCATTTTCTGAAAAACAGCGCGTCTGTCCGTAAACGAATGTCAGTGTTTACATTCTAGCTTTGAAAACAGACCAGCAGCTTTTTTGAGACGCGAGGTGTTGGCGGGCAAATGTCTGATTGTTTCAAATACACTTGTGGAAATGAAATAACAGATCAGTGACCTCTGCTGGTGTTCCATCCTGATCCTTCACCGTGGTCCAGGACTGGCCATCATCGCTGTAGCGAACTCTGTACACCGACACCCACTGCTGGTAGTCACCATCACCACGTCCCTGGGTAACCAGTCCTGTGCAGAGTACCGTGTTGTTGAAATCGACTTGTATCCAGGGCTTCGTGTCGTTGGCGGCGGCACACCAGCACGAGGCACCCACTGATTCTGGTGTACAAAAAGTGAGATTCCCATCAACTATAAGGTGTGAGAGTCTGCCGCCCTTATCTCCCACCACAGCTTTAATACCGTTCACAAACTGGTGGACGACAGAGCGGGCATATCGTCAACAGTTTCCTCTGTCAACGGAAGTGCCAGATCTTTTCTCGGATAACAATAATGAGAAAATCAAGTTTAAAGTTCGCCACTTATTAAAGTTGCCATGTTGAAATCAAAAACAGGAATAGGGCTTCACAGTGATCAGGAACAAAATTCAATTATCTTTCCAGGGAAAATATGTGGAATAGTTAATAAATTATCTGTGAATCAAATCCTGTTTTCATTTCCTTCAAAGAAAAGTAGCAGCATCTTTAAACCGTAATACTTCAAGCCTGTGAAGACACTGCTCACATAATTGCATATGGAATTTCTAAGAAAGGCATTTTTGACTTTCCTAAAGTGATATATGAAATGTGACCGAAATCGGTGGCAAAAAATCGACTTTGCTTTACCAAATGCAGCCTGAACTGATTAAGGAGATGGAATTGCCACTGAGATAAGAATGTAATTATGGGTAACTCAATTCAGCTTGAACGCCCCTCAGAGACTATTCAAATAACTGTAGATTGCTCCCTTAAAGTTTCCGGTTTCTGGTCGACGCACGCGTCGCCGTAGACCTGCTTGTTGGCAAAATAAAAAAAAGTTTTTATTTGGTATAAAACAATATCCAAAAGCTGCTAAAACTTGCTTAATCGACTGGAATCTTGCTACTGCTTAATTGCAACGTGTTTTTGATTGGGTATGGTTGAGTAACATGTCCAGTGAAGGTGTCCTTCTAGTTCCCATGCATTAAGTTGGGCCATTTTTTTTCAGATGATGTCATCTCTGTATTATACATTTACGTCTGGGAACCAGACAAGCGGTCTTATGTCCTGTGTACATGTAATAGCTGAAAATGCCCTAACGTGGGAGCGTGTGACCAACAAACCTCAGATATCACTTGATCTGATTGTTCTACCAACTGCCACGCATCACCTGATCGAACTGAGAAAACAGAAAAACGAGGGGAACCCTCGCTCTGTGTTCGTAGTGGATAAACCCTTGCGCATGTCAAGCACTGAATGTGGCCATTGTTTGTGGCCATTGTTTGGCATGCACGAGGGTTTATCCACTACGAACACAGCACCCCGTGGCTACCGCAGTTTTGAAAAAGTGTTGTGATCCAACTAAACAGATCACTTCTGTTTGAAAGTGAGATCATTATGCATTTGTGTTTCATTGCAACCTAAGAGGAAAGAAAGGGGAAAATGACGAAAAGAAATCACATGACTTCGTTTCACTTGCACTTAATGCTCTTTGAATTTAAAAAAGTTTAAAAATAAAATTACAATGATTTTTTCTTTATTTGAATAAAAGAAGTTCCTCACTTGGTCTGCTTCTCCTTTTCGCTAAGCATTTTTGTGATTAAATGTATGAAGCAATCTGAAAAAAAATCAACAAGTTGCCTTTTCCCGGTGACTTTCTCCCATTCAATCATGTTTTTCAGTTCTTCCTAAAGAAGCAGTATTCGTTGGGTGCCTGTTCCCTGAGTGCGTTCTGAACCTGCAAAGTCTGAGGTGTAGGTATGTACGTATTCTGCTGGCGATCTCAATGAAATTGGCCTCTTTTATTCAACCCATGATTTTCCTTTCAAGTTTTTTTCTTCAATTATCTATCATTTCAAGTTGATATAGACCATATTTCTGTCCATGGAGGTACATGTATATGTACATGTACATGTACATGCATGCTCTGTCATGATTTTTATCGGAAAAAACACAATTTTTATTTTCAGTATTATTTATTTCTCATAAGTCTTTGTCAAAAGATTTTATCAACATTTCTACAGAGATAAAACCACACAAAATGTGTTGAAGTATTTCACAATCGAAGAGCTGAGTTCCTAATCAAATATTTTGTTTGGCCAATTGTCAAGGCAAATAACAGGGGTTAACCTTTCCATGTGCGTGCGACACGTGCGCACTGTAACTATCATGCTTTGATTACAGCAGCAAGTAACCCTTTGCGCGACCACAGCTGTGGCGTACATTTCTATTACCCTTACCCTGTGAATTTTGCTCCCGGGTGTTGAATGTCTATCGTGTCAAATGTGAACAAGCTGTGTTTTTCCCACAATTGCAAAATATTTAAAAAGGGCTTTACCTTTGCAGCCGAAGAGTTCAACCCGCATCGAGGGCCAAGAATTGTAGCTGGTCGGTCTGATACGGATGTAGCGAGCTTGGATGGGCTTGTTAAAACTGCTGTTGACTGGGGTGGTTTGGTCCACGTTACCATCAAATGTCTGTCCATTATGCAGGCGAAAGTGGAAGACAAATTAGAAAAACAAAAGAAGATTAGAAAAACAAAAACACAAAGTTATTGCTTGCCTATTATAAACAGTATAGCGTGTCTACAGAAGTCTTTGTCTTTCAGCCAAACGTGTCAGGTGCTTTTTTTTCTGTCTAGAGGGAAAAAAGAGACAATCACTTAAATGTTCTGCTTTTAAGATGGGACAATCTCTTGGCTTATATTCAAATGTAAGGTCCCTGAAGTCTCCACATCGTAGTGCAACCATTAGCGCTTCAGTTTTTATATCATGAAAATAGCAACAAGGGGTCGTACAAAGTGGCCTAAATCATTCATTGTATGTTCCATCTGCAGTTGAACCGGGAAAATCGGTTTCTTTTTTGTATACCGTACGTTCTTATTGGAGATAGTGTCATCATTTGTAGGTCTGTGCTTGTTCAAAGCAGTCCTAAACAGATTCCTTCCAAAAAATGGCATTGTGTACACTACATACTTACTACCGTTGAAAATTTATACTGTGTCTCAATTCCAATAAAAGTTACTTTGGAAATTGCTTGTGGATGTCAATGGAATCCATTCGAGGCTCATGTGGAAAACCAATCCGTTTTTGTTTATGACTAGATTTGTTAACTGAACTGTGCCGAGACAATTGCTATACTAAGCAGGATTGGGAGAACAGACATTTTAATCCTCTACCTGCGGCCCTGTCTCAGGTCCTCCATTGGTCACATACACCCAGGTACTTCGGTCATTACTGTACTGCACCTGGTACGCTGTCACTCGCTCCCTCCAAATCCCCGATGGATCCACGCTGCCCTGAATGATAACTCCCTCTACCTGCAGTTGCTTGGCCAAATCTACCTCAAACCATGGGGATTCCTTGTCATTCCTGGCCGGGCACCAGCCACCGACAATCGAATCTACTCCATGGTAGTTCAGCCGGCCGTTGTGAGGCTCGCAGTTACCAGACGCGTTTATTCGCTCGTTGAAAACGCTGGAGGCAGTGATACTGGAGTCAGGAATACTTCCGTCCTCCATTCCAAGCCGTTCACCGCATAAGCGTCCGTCCACTTGAAGTTCAACAAACAAAACCAAAAGCAACATCAGTTGAGAATTGGGGTTTTAATGTGCACAATGTAGTTCAACGGATCTAAGGAGGCCACACTTTTTATACTAGCGGTGATTCGTAGACTAATTACGGCACTTCAAGTTCATTTCCCAGAAACGCTCTGCTTTGACTTTCCTTTTCAGGCTATTTCTTGGTTTACGCTGCGTTTGAGAATACTTTATGATGAAGTAAGGTGGGTATAGTCGTTTGATAATGAAATATCCATGATTTTTCTCAAATTGCATGTATGCAATATCCATGAAACCTCAATAAGATACCACGAAGTCCTGCACAAAACTGGACATTGGAATGTAAAATGCCTCGTGCGGTAACGGGTACACCCACACACCCAATCTGATGTTGCTGAAACAGCACATTGTCAAAACACGGGGAAGGACTAATGTTTAACCCGGAATTCCCTGAATGGTGCACTGTCTCAACTCAAAGAAACGTCTCCGTCAGGCTGAGGCGCTTAAAAGAACACCTACATATTCTTTCGAAAGGAGGGATCTGTGTTGGCCAAGAAATTTTGGGATTGTGTACGTATAGCCCAGGATCATCTCTGTAGATGCAGGGACCTCAACTAGTTGCAAAGCTGACAAAATGTCAACGAAAATTTTTCAGAAGAGGCCGAGAAAGGTGAGGGATGTCATTTGAAAAATGGCTGCTGAGAAGACTTGGGAACATTCACTTTTGGGGGGATAGGTTTGTTTGGTGCGGATAATTAAAAAAATTATCGGTTACCTGCTAAAATTTCAAACTCAAATGAAATCTGAAGGACCAAAAACACAACGTTTTTGTGTCAGGGATTTCAGCTGCCCGCAATGGGACTCCAAACTTTGAGTTCACACTGTTTTTAATGGAGTTTGAATTATTTTCAAGATGTATTTTTTGCGTTGGGGAGATGTTAATTATATATAACAGTTTGCCCTTACCCAACGTATATTAATAAGCACTTTATGCTCAGTGCTTGTCCAAGAGCTTGCGAAAAAACCTCACAAGCTTACTCGCAAAGCGGGGAAAGAACCGCTACGCTAAGCCACTCCCCCAACAACACCCCCCACCAATTTAGTTTTCTTTTAAGCAATTTTGAATGTAAGAATTCTATTTCTAAGAACGGTAATATATAAATCTTTGAGAACACTTTAGCTACATGTGTTTCCACTATTCGTTATTCTTCAGAACACTCTTTAGAACATAGGCCGACAAAATTTTCATAAAACATTATTTTTTTTATTTGGTGTGGATACTAGTTTCCTCCACAAATCATCCGTTTGCTGCGATAACATGGATAGTCTTTCGAGCGTTTGTATCTTTGCCCGAATGCCAGGTGCTTGTCTAGAAAGGGTTGTTATAACTACCTCTCTCCTTATGTAAAGTCAGGGGATACTTATGCACCGAGGGGATAGTAGCTGTAACAATGAACGGGGCGCCATCTTGACTGGTATTATTGTCTAGGCCTATACTCTGTCAATCCGATCTTCGAATTCTGGACCGTAAAAAGTACTGTCCAGGCCTGTTGAGAACTTACCCTGCAAATAAAGCCTCGCTCTTTGAGGTCCATAGTAATTTTGCTGGTTTCCCAAGGCAGACGAAGCCGTAAGGTGGTTATCTGGGATGCCCCCATCCTTCATGCCAAGAGGTTTCGGCGTGGAGCAAGTATAAAAGACACCTATCAAACACAAAACGACTTGTTCATACTTCACACAAAAGCAAAATATTTAAAAGCTGGGAAATCACAAAAGTTTAAATCATTTAAACTCGAGCGAAATTTCCCTGCAAATCTTGCATAATGTCAGAGCCACTTTATGCAGTCACCTGTAGGAATTAACTGGCCAGTCCTGGAGAGATATGGCAGATATGTCCAATCCTCAAAAGTAAGCAATCGTTTAGAGCTGGTACAGCTATTTGGCCAGCGTGTGTTACCAAAACAATTCCAACCGTTCATAAAAGTATGTCAAGGCGCCAGTCCTCCTCTGGTCATAAAAGTATGTCAAGGCGCCAGTCCTCTTCGGGTCATAAAAGTATGTCAAGGCGCCAGTCCTCCTCGGGTCATAAAAGTATGTCAAGGCGCCAGTCCTCCTCGCAACAGCTTTGAGTCGACGCTCATGCGTATGAGGTTTCAGACAGTGAATGAGCTGCCATAGAAGACAGTAATAAATACACCCGCTTCGAAAAAAGGGGGGAAATACAGGTTTTTCGGGTGTTCAAGACACATATCAAGTTAAAGCATATTTCCTCATNTTCCTTCCAACTCCCCGATGGATCCACGCGGCCCTGAATGATAACTCCCTCTACCTGCAGTGGCTCGGCCAAATCTACCTCAAACCATGGGGATTCCTTGTCATTCCTGGCCGGGCACCAGCCACCAACAATCGAGCCTACTCCGGGGTAGTTCAGCCGGCCGTTGTGAGGCTCGCAGTTACCAGGCGCGTCTGATCGCTCGTTGAAAACGCTGGAGGCAGTGATGCTGGAGTCAGGAATACTTCCGTCCTCCATTCCAAGCTGTTCACCGCATAAGCGTCCTTCCACTTGAAATTCAAGAAAACAAAACCACAAGCTACATCAGTTGAGAATTTGGGTTTTAATATGCACAATGTACTTCAGCGGATCTAAGGAGGCCACACGTTTTATACTAGCGGTGATTCGTAGACTAATTACGGCACTTCAACTTCATTTCCCAGAAACGCTCTGCTTTGACGTTCCTTTTCGGGCTATTTCTTGGTTTACGCTGCGTTTGAGAATATTTTATGATGAAGTAAGGTGGGTACAGTCGTTTGATAATGAAATATCCATGATTTTTCTCAAATTGTATGTATGCAGCATCCATGAAACCTCAATAAGATACCAAGAGGTCCTGCACAAAATTGGACACTGGAATGTAAAAGGCCTCTTGCAGTATCGGGCACACCCACACACCCAATTTGATGTTGCTGAAACAGCACATTATCAAAACACTGGGAAGGACAAATGTTTGACCCGGAATTCCCTGAATGGTGCACTGTCCCAACTCAAAGAAACTTCTCCGCCAGGCTAAGGCGCTTAAAAGTACACCTACATATTCTTTCGAAAGGAGGGATTTGTGTTGGCCAAGAAATTGTGGGATTGTGTAAGTATAGCCCAGGATCATCTCTGTAGATGCAGGGACCTCAACTAGTTGCAAAGCAGACAGAATGTCAACGAAAATTTTTCAGAAGAGCCCGAAAAGGTGAGGGATGTCATTTGAAAAATGGCTGCTGAGAAGAGTTGGGATCATTCACTTTTGGGGGATGGGTTTGTTTTTGGCGGATAATTAAAAAAAAATATCGGTTACCAGCCAAATGTTCAAACTCAAATGAAATCTAAAGGACCAAAAACACATTGTTTTTATGTCAGGGACTTCAGCTGCCCGCAATGGGACTCCAGACTTTGTTGAGTTCACACTGTTTTCAATGGAGTTTGAATTAGTTCAGTGCACCGTGAATATGGTGCTAACCTCTACCACGAAGTTGGCTTCCGCGTAATGACACGTAATAATGTTCTGTGGAATTTGTAGTATGTGCTGAAGTCTACTACACTGCACAGCCCAAAGCATAAACTAATCATTCATCAACTTGCTGCATAGGGTCAAATGTTTCTGCATTGGAAAGCTTTTTCAAGGGATAATCAGTTTTCCGCGATTACGAATAACCGAATTTTTTTCCCATTTTTACAGATAGCGTTTAATTGGGAAATGTTAATGGCATAGTTCAAACTTTAGTTTAATTGGGTGGACGTGAGTAACCAGGGAAAGTTTTTTAATTCAGCATTTGAAATAAAACAGTTTTTCATGGTGAATTTCACATTTCTTTTATTGAAATTGCTAACAAGGAAGTTTTATTTTGTCAAAGAGAGCTCAATTTCGTCATGGATATAAATTTGTATACAAAGCATTGGCCCTCAATCTAATTAAAAAGAGGAAGTCCAATAACAGCAAAGTATGTAATTATTGTAAAAAGTTACGCCTGATTTGTTCAACCTATTCTTTTAGTCAAGTTTGAATTAAACAAAAATGACGTCCAAAAAAGCTAATTCAAATCATTATAAAGATAAACTCAAGAAGAAAATTAATAATTAAATTAGTAAAACGAATTATAACAAAAAATCTATTCGCTTTTCCAATCCAACGCCATTCCGAGTGAGACGAAAATGACAAAAATTAGTGTGACTTTTTTTCGTGAGTTACAATGCTCTAAAAGTGGAATTTGGTACTGTTATTTCGTAATTAGAATCAATTTGGGGGCGAGTGACCCCCCACGTTGTTGTTGTTGTTTAAATAGCACTTTCAGCTACTCGGGCTGCGCCAATGATTAGGCCTATGTGTGTATTCATAACCTTTATTAATCAGCATCCCGTTACGAAGTTTGGAAGAAGGTCCAGTTTTAGAGGCAGGAGGAAACAGGAGTACCCGGAGAAAACCTGCGACAGCGAGTATGGACTAGAAATCAAATGCACTTAAAGCCTGGGCCAAGCCGGGACTCGAACGCAAGCCTCATTGGTGCAAAGCGGGGAAAGAACCGCCACGCTAAGCCACTCCCCCCGACAACCCCCCCGCCCACCAATTTAGTTTTCTTGTAAGCAATTTTAAATGAAAGAATTCTATTTCTAAGAACGGTAATATATAACTCTTTGAGAACACTTTAGCTACATGTGTTTCCACTATTCGTTATTCTTCAGGACACTCTTTAGAACATAGGCCGAAAAAATTTTCATAGAACATTATTTTTTTTATTTGGTATGGATACTAGTTTCCTCCACAAATCATCCGTTTGCTGCGATAACATGGATTGTCTTTCGAGCGTTTGTACCTTTCCCCGAATTCCAGGTGCTTGTCTAGAAAGGGTTGTTTTAACTACCTCTCTCCTTATGTAAAGTCAGGGGATACTTATGCACCGAGGGGATAGTAGCTGTAACAATGAACGGGGCGCCATCTTGACTGGTCTTATTGTCTAGGCCTATACTCTGTCAATCCGATCTTCGAATTCTGGACCGTAAAAAGTACTGTCCAGGCCTGTTGAGAACTTACCCTGCAAATAAAGCCTCGCTCTTTGAGGTCCATAGTAATTTTGCTGGTTTCCCAAGGCAGACGAAGCAGTGAGGTGGTTATCTGGGATGCCCCCATCCTTCATGCCAAGAGGTTTCGCCGTGGAGCAAGTATAAAAGACACCTATCAAACACAAAACGACTTGTTCATACTTCACACACACAAAAAAAATATTTAAAAGCTGGGAAATCACAAAAGTTTAAATCATTTAAACTCGAGCGAAATTTCCCTGCAAATCTTGCATAATGTCAGATTTACTTTATGCAGTCACCTGTAGGAATTAACTGGCCAGTCCTGACGAGATATGTCAGATATGTCCAATCCTCAAAAGTAAGCAATCGTTTAGATAAAAGTATGTCAAGGCGCCAGTCCTCCTGGGGTCATAAAAGTATGTCAAGGCGCCAGTCCTCCTCGGGTCATAAAAGTATAAATTATCCAGTCCAAGAGCCAAGAAATTCCCCCTAAATAGTAAATTTAACAGCATGCAAATTGCAATGTGGTCTGCGCAGGTTACTACCTGCGCAGACTGTGCTGGCAACACGGTTGCAGACCAGTAAATACTGGTCTGCAACCGTGTTACCAGCACAGTTCTCCTGGACAGGACAGTGCAAGTTGAAAGCATAGTAGTCTTCGGTCCGAGGCCGGTTTGCGCTATTTTTTTCATACCCTGGATTCGTTATCAGCATAATTGAGATGTGTACAGAAGATCATGATAAAACATGCAGGTTACACGTT